ACATGTTACAACACATCCCATTTACTGTTACAACAAGCCCCAGGCCCAGGCTGATAATATAAACTGTCTGCAACATTTCTCCTGCATTGTTCAAAAGCCTATTCAATTACGAGTGCTGCTAAGCTAAAAGCTAATGATTAAGCTCAGAGTTTAGTGATAGAGAGGACAGGAAAGAAAGAAGAGGGAGAGGACAGGACAAGAGCAGTCAGTGGCGGAGCAATGGGTACCTGTCTGTAGGCTCTCCACCTGTCAGTGAGACAAACATGAATGACGTGCAGTCTAACTGACAAGGAGCGGTCATTACACATGACTATTACGCATGGTTGTGGCGGAGCGGCTCGTATGGGTACCTGTCTGTAGGCTCTCCACCTGTCAGTGAGACAAACATGAAAGACGTGCAGACGAGGAGCGGTCATTACGCGCGACTATTACGCACGGTTGTGACGGAGCGTAGCTAATGGGTACCTGTTTGTAGGCTCTCCTCCTGTCAGTGAGACAAACATGAAAGACGTGCAGATGAGGAGCGGTCATTACGCGCGACTATTATGCACGGTTGTGAGGTGCACAGCGGCAGATCTCACAGCACACTGTTTATAAACCAGTTTACCAGTTTAATTGCAGGAAATGTTTAGTTTTAGTTTTAGTTTAGTTAGTATAGACATTCACTCTGCCTGTTGGAGAGATAGAGAGAAGATTAAAGCGTCAAATTGCTGTAAAAGATGCTGTATAAAAGACAGGCTACAACTTTTTTTTCCTTGTCCCCCCCTGAAATTACTCTCTAAAATTTTACTGTTTATTGTCCCCCCCAACTATGAAATGGGATTTTAGCCCCTGGTTCAATGTCTACCCAATTAGCACAAGCTAACACAGCAGCAACGGGTAAAATCCAACACCAAGTTGCTAAATGATCCCAACAAACTAACACTGACACTGAAACAGTTCGACTCTGGCATTAAATTTGTTAAGAAACGTTAGGTTAAAGTATACAGCTGGTGAAAAATTAAAAAAAAATTACACTTAATAAAGTTAATTGCAAAAAGTGCGTACTTGTTCACAGATCATAAATAAACCAAAAAAATAAAAAATACCCTACTATCTGAGAGAAAGTAACAGGAATGTCAGCTTTGTTTTTTGTATACAATGGTCATTAGTTAGACACCTGCCTTCCAGAAGCTAGAGTCCAAGTGGCGGTATTCCACCAGGCAGGATCACTCAGTTAGCCAGGTATCTTATAACATAGCATGCAACAACTTCTCTGAACATTTGTTGTTAACTAGCAGTAATCACTACCTATGACTAAGGGTCCAGCAATGATAAGATAAAATAAAATAATTCCTTTCCTTTTATGGCCCAAAATCATGTGTAGTTTAGGTGGTTATCGACTTGAAAAATGTCAAAAACAAAAAGGTAATTTAACTACTTGAATCACTTTGAGGATAAAAATGTTGCAGAACTACTAGCAAGTTTCTGCAAAATACAGTTGAGCCAATAATTACACGTACTTTACTATTTGCCAACACTGCAAATTTGCTATGGTGTCACTGTGTTGTGGTTAAAGGGGAACAAAGAAAGAAGAAAGAAAGTTCAATCAATATTCGTGAACATGAGCTACTCTCAAAGACAGAAACCAGAGAGGTGAGTCTCAAACTTGTGATGTCATTGGGTATACAGTCTGGAACTGCTGACAATGGATAGGAGCCAGATTTTGTGGACCCATGTTTGTTTTCTTTTCTTTTCTTTTTTTTTTTTTTTACATCCAAATGAGCTTTTTTCTATTGTAGTATTGTCAGTTCAGAAACAGAAAATGTACCCATATACTCAGAACATTTCCCTGGGTGCTCCCAGTGTCACCTAGAACATCTTTTCCATGTCATTGCCTATAGAGCAGCTTTTGAGTTTTAGCACTCTAGCTTTTGGATTTGGAAGAGAGTTGTTCATGTCTACTAATGTTTTTGACTGTCTTAGACCATGGAAATTACATGTATGAATTTTGAAAATGGCTGCAGTTCCCCTTTAAACAGTGAAACATGCGTAAAACAAGTGCAATGTAGTATGCGCACATTCACATCGGATGCAATTAGCCATGCTGGCTCGGCCTTAGCTCTGTAGATAATCACCTCTGCAGTGTGAGTTCCAGGGGTATAGCAGGCCCTCGGGGAGTTTGTTATCCTCAGTCTGGGACGAGGGCATGAGGTCCAGAGGTTTGGTTGACCGATCCAAATATCTTTCGCACCTGTAGAATCATTCATGAGCTTCCTTGAGAGTGTCACGCCGCTTGAATTTGCATCTCCTCTTCAAGCTACTTTAACTGAAAGTTATCCAGTTTTGTCTTCAGTCCAAAAAAATATTCAACAAGCAGCACAAAGTTTGACTTAAAAGTAGCCTGAATCAAAGCGTGGCGGCTGTTATGAACTGGCATTTCCAAGTCATGAAGCGTTCTTCTCTTTCAGTAATATATGATGAGACACTTTATCTTACTTCCTTGATCTCATAAAGTCATTTCCATATTCACAACTTTAGATATCCATCTTTATTAATGTGTGTCTGTGGGAGAGCAAGCCCAGCAGTTTGTTCTTTGTTGGCCTCATGATTTTGGAAAATAAGCAACTAAAAACTCACAGGTTTGCTCCCTTTTATATTTATATATGACATGTTATTATCAACAGCCATTTGTACAGGCAAAATGACCTTAAAATTAAGATCTCTTTGTGTAAAACCCACCATTACTCTATGTTCTATTATGCTTATTCATGATTGTCTTCTCATTCTGTTTGCTGAGCTTATCCCACCAAATGCCAGTAAACACCTGGAGGATTGACTAGCACTAGTAGAGACTGCACGAGTGAACTCAGACACCTCTTCACTCTGACAAGTCTGAGGAGCTGCCATCATTGGAGCATGCAATATTTACTTACATGTCACCCCCAAGCCACTGATTATGGGCAGTATTCCAACACCGACCACATGTCAGTCAGCACTCCAACACACATCACTCCATATCTGTCATGCTCACTGGTGGAGGAGGTATTCATATCCTTTACTTAAGTAAAAGCCCTAATTCCACACTACAGAAATACTCCTGCATTGTAGTATATTTAAGTATTAAAAGTAGTAATGATTTAAACAATTGTCCAAATAATTTCCAGTCATTTTCTAATCAATTGACTTATCGTTTCAGATGCACTTGTAGATTTCCATATGGTTCGTGCGCAGCAATCTTAATTTGTAAAGTAAATAGTAACTAAAGTCATCAACTAACTGTAGTGGAATGAAAAGTATAACATTTCTCTCTGAAGTGAGTGACATGAGATTAAAACACTAAAGAAAAGTAAAAGTACCTAAAATTTGTACTTGACTTTATTTCAGTCAGGAGAGACTTGTTCTGAGAAAAAAGAATATTTATTTACATGTGCATAAGTACCCCATCATGATGTCATTTATTCCGGGAGGGTGGTAAAGACATAGTAGATTAGGGAACCCCCCCATGGAGTCTAGACACTGGTGGTGGTGATGAGATGAAGAGGGAGCTGAGGGTCTGGATGTGAAGAGGAGTGGGCTTTTGATGAGCTCATCCTGGGCTCTGGATAAAGTGACTGGAGGTGAATGGGGTGGAGGAGGGCATGATGATTCTGCCTAAAATGACAGCTGACAGGAGCAGAGAGGAGAACAGATTTAAAGTTTGGCAGCAGCAACATGAGATCGTGGCAACGTTTGATTGGCTAACCAGGAGAGGGAACACCCATAGTCAGCTGATTGGTGGAAGTGGTGGGAGGGGGACCGAGAAGGAATTGTGAATGGATATAGCATAAAGAAAGTCTCCCTGATTGAACTTACGCTGAGCTCCATTTCAGTCGTGCATCGTGTTATTCTTTGTATGTGTGTAGTCTTTAATGCAATGCTCCTTTTGAGGCTGACACAGTTGCAATAGTTATGCTTGCATGACAACAATGAAGTTTGGGGATCTTGATCCAGCTATGCCTTCATATGAAAATGAAACATGGGTTAATAGATTATAAAGACAAATTGGTTGCAGTGGTGAGCTACATGTTACATGAGGTTCATGTAACCTTTTTATAAAGCCTCGACTTCACTTGAGCGCTGCGGGGATACAAACATATATACTTTGTTTTTAGGTAATCCCTCCATAATGTATCTTTAAAGTACCTTTAATGGCGACAAATTTCAATTCAGGAGATGTCGAAAAAAAAATCATTTATGAACAGGATGAACAGTGGCATTTATCCAGGTCAACCTACCATGAAAGACAGGCATAATAGATTAGTGAGGTAATAAATTTTAATGTTCATGTTTATGTTCAAATTGTTAAGACTTCCCAATAACAGCTTTTAATAGCTGGAGTCATATTGGACAGTTTAAAAGCCCCTTTGATGCTTTTATTTCCATGGTGTCATTGGAATTTGTTGTAAAACTGTTTACAGGGACTGCACACGTAGTATCGGGAGCAAGTACAACATTATGCTACATTGGCTAAATCATTACAATAACAATACATAAACAGGAAATAACTGAATTTATTTTTGATTGGATATTTCTATATAATCACTGATGGTGATATGCAGTGTAATTTGGATGAGATTCAGTTGCACACAGCCAAGTATCATGAAAAAGTTTTATTGACATGACATGGAAAATTTATTATGTGTTGTCAGCCTGTCAAAGTTCTCTACTAAGACACCTCTGCTTGGCTTATACATAAATTTATTTAACACTGTGTCGCTTGAGATGTGCAAGAAAAACTCTCTGACTCCGCAGAAGAACCATGAGTCCTTTACAAATTAAAAAATGTCTGATTACATTTTATCTTTGAGTGCCTCTAATGACTTTTCTCCCTCTCTCTATTCATCTGTATACTTTCAGATAAGAGGAGAGAAGAGTTGGAATTGATGATTGTGGAGTGGAATTTAAGAAGGGGATTCGTGAAGAGAAGAACTGGGAGGAGGAGGAGCAGGTGATCGAAGGAGGAAGAGGAGGAGAGGAAGAGTATGGGCCACTCGTCTGTGTGGATCTTTCTGCTGTCCCTTTCTCTCTCCCATCAAAGCGTCACAGCACAGGCTGAAGGTAAGGTTTGTCATTCCTACCAGATGTTAGACTGACTCATTGTTTTGCAAGTCACAAGTGAGTCTCTAGTCTTTGTTCTCAGGTCCCAAGTCAAGACTGACAAATCCCAAGTCAAGTCTTAAGTCCTAAACTTTGAGGTTAAAGTCCTAAACAAGTCATAATGTACATAATGTTAGCTAAGAATTAGTTTGCTAACTATGTTGACATTGGTCTTGACTTACTGTTCTTTGTGCAACTTAAAATGTCAAAAGAAGTTCCATCTGTAATTGACCCTTCGCTAAGTCCCGCCCCCTGACACAAACTGACCAATCATAACGTAGCATCAGGCCAACTCAGACCAGGGTCCGACAACAACGCAGCTGTGCTCCATTGACTTTTGCAGTCGTTTCAGATTTCCTTCATTTTCAGGCTGGTTTTGTGGATTCGGAGCTAAATGTTGTGTCTGGGGCACGTCGTGTATTAATGATACTCGTTACCTGGCGAGGTTGGAAAAAGACATACGTTTCTTCCCTGTTCCAAAACCAAAATCAGACCCTGAAAAGTGTAGGGTTAGCTAGCTAGCTGTGACATCACAGTGTGTGTAGAAGAACGGTGTCTGCATTCCCACAGAGCTCCCCGACAGCTCTGTGGGAAGGCAGACAGGTCCGACCACTGGCGGTGGCACAGGGCGCAAAGCCAGACACAGTTCATCTGCACACACTGCAATGCCACACAGCTGGTTCAATATCAGCAAGTTTCCCTTTATATTCATTGTCTTGTGAGGCGATCAGCAGTGATGTGGTGGTTCACTTTTACACTGTGATCTGTAGCCTATAGTTCGGCTTTAGCTTCTAACTATCTTTGTCTTTTTAACCTGTTGTTGCTGCTGAGTCAGTTTGACATCCTGGATATATCCTTCAAACACAGACTGTAGACCCCTCTGTCTGCTTCTCTCTGGAATCACTGTTTCATTTTTCCATAAATATGATAATATTTCTTCAGGGAGTGCAGTTAGTTACAGTGTGGGCTCCATGCTTACTCTGACAGCTTGACGGACCATCACAAAGGGGCGGGGCTTAGTGAAGAGTAATTTTCCGACCCCCACATTTTGCATACTGCAGTTTTTTTGTTGTCAACCACATGGTTTTTCTACGTAAACAAATTTATGCTTAATATCATTTTTTTTTCCAACTGGCACTTTTAATGTATCAATAGTTCTCATGCTTCTCTCCTGCAACTTGATTAGATACTGTAGGATTGGTTAAAAAAGAGGAGGGGGAATTAAGTGTCAACTCAGCATGAATAGTCTTAATGTAAGTTAATTCAGGGAATTAAGGTAAATGATTGATGGCACACTTTTTAAATAACAAACTTTTTTATCTTTGGGCTTGGAGGAAGGTGTCAATTATTTTCAAGTCCAAGTAAAGTCACAAGTCACTGGTGTCAAAGTCCCAATCAAGTAAATAAGTATTTTTGATTTTGTCAAGTCTAAAGTCATCAAATTTGTGACTCGAGTCAAATTCATGTGACTTGAGTCCACACCTCTGAATCCTACATCCAATGGACACACACAAACATGTGATTCATTCTAATGTTTCTATTATTTATTGTTTTCAACAACAAATAAAGCACCATCAAGCTTTTTTCTTTACTTGTTTACTCTCTCACTTATTCAGTCATTCATTTATACAGAATTTCAGCCAGTCCCCTCAGTCACCTTTTTCTTCATTTTGTTCTGTTTCTCAACCTTTCCCTCCCTTAGAGAAGTGACACCACCTTATGGCACCATCAGTTGCTTATTTCTGAGTCAACACCATATGTCTGATTGTCAGCAATGTGCACGGATCTATGAATTAGATGACTTGGATGCTCGGGCCAAAGAAAGGGCAGGTGCTCAATGAACACAGTCTGTACGAGCACTCCATCATTAAACCTCCACACATGGATTGGTACACGGGCAGACACTAACTCAGCTCCACTCTCTCTCCAGACTGTGTCTAGTCAGGGAATTTAAACATCTGCTAGCCTCATGTACAGTACAGCACTCTGTCTGCCAGCCTGTCAAACTCATCTCCTAGCTACAGAACCTTCGCCCCAGGTGCTATTGGATGTCGCCAAAAGGTCAATCAGCCAATCAAAAGTTAGATTTCTTCCACCTGGAACGTGGTTGGCAGAAAGTGATTGGTAAAGTTGTTGGGCAGAATTATGGTGGATATAAATAGCCCAAGGCCATATTTGAAGCTATATGCTCCCTTGTAACCGGTCATTGTTTATTCGTGACAGTGTTAATTCACATGCTGTCATATCACATCATGTGGCCTTCTGTAGCAACCCTGAGGGCTGAGTGTTTCATATTACACACAAGAAGCGGCATGTGGTCAATTTCGAGTTAATAAGCTGACTGGCACCTCAGTGTTCCATTACAGTTGAGGTTGGTAATATTTATAAGAAAAACTTTTTGTCATATTTGCTGAAACTGTCACTTTATCCAGACAGAAGTACATGGGACAGATAATCTGTGAAAAAATTATGTTCCTCTGCTTGCACTTAGGATTCTTTCACACCAGCCCTGTTTGGTTCGGGTCAATCGAACTCAAGTACGCTTGCCCCCTAAGTGCGGTTTGTTCAAGACCTTCTTGAAGAGGTGATCTCAGTCCGGTCGCAAACAAACTCTGGTGCGGTTCATTTGTGGTGAGAACGTGTTCTGACCAAGATCTGAACCAACTGCAGTCACATGACACATTGTTTGGGTTAAACATGAGCATGTTACAGTCCTGGAGGATTATTAATGTGCACCTCCTCCTGTACTGCATTAATATGCACATTCAGCACATCCAATGCATCAAAACGTTGTTTTCTAGTTGGAGCCGCGCCTCGTTTTCAAACTGTATGGTTTGACTAAAATGAACAATGACAGCAATATAGTCCACGATGAGCAGCGCTAAAATCAACCTGCGTAGTTGTCCCTCCATTGTGACATTAGAAAGTGTAACATTTATCTTGCAAGTGTACTCTTCTTCAATGTATTGTTTACTTCCTGGATTTTTCCCACATGGAAGTTCTGACCAATCAAGAGCAGCTTTCTCGCACAGACATTTTATCTGATCTGCTTGTAAATGTTGCCGTGAGAACACGAACCAACAAAATTCATCCCTGATTCGGACCAAAGCAAGACAACTCTAGGTCTGAAAGCACCCTAACTCAGCTGTCAATCATGTCAATCACTGCTTACTGATCAAATATGAATCAAGATTCTGTTACTGTAGCTTTCTCATTTCACAGCCAAACAGTATGTTGACAATGCATTAGCAGAACCTTGGTTATCATTTGATCAGCGCTGTCTAGTTTTGACAGTTTGGACCTGTATTACTTTGTACCCCATTAAAACCAAATGCTGTGGCATTGTCCACCCTTATCAAAAACTACAGTTCATTGGAGCGTCGGTAGCGTAGTGAATGGTGCCGGCGCCTCATATACAGAAGTGATGCCTCGCTGCAGCGGTCACGGGTTTGACTCCAGCTCATGACCGTTTGCTGCATGTCATCCCCCCACTCTCTCTTACTCCCCCATTACACTCTCTCCTGTCAATTAAAGGCAAAAGCCTGAAAAATAATCTTTAAAAAACAAAAAACAAAAACAAAACTACACTTCTTCAAATGGCCACTAGAGGCTGGCTCCAAAAGTGAGTCAATCCCCACAGACTCCCATGTTAAAATGCTGAACTTTACTGTACAAATAAACATGTTTACAGCCTGGTGCAAAAAACAGTATTGTCTCTATAGCTAATGTTCTCATTCATTACAACTATTTTTTTTTTTTTAACTGACCCTTTGACGTTTTATTAAGGCTTAAAAGTATGCATAATTAAGGGCGTGGCCACTTTAAGTGACAGGTGGGTGCTGTCACTAACCTTAGCTGTTTTCATCACTGAACTTGACATGGCGGCCATGTTTGTAACGTTGGTGCCTTTTGGAGACTTTTTCAAGCAAATACTGGATAAAGACAATGCCTTAATGCCCGGTTAATTTTCCAAGAAGTCTGTCCACCATTTATTTGGTGAGTTAGCTTGTTAGCTAGCTAATTAGCCAGCTCGTGAATTAGCCTTGGGTATGCATAGCCAAGCTAACAATGCTAACAGGAGGGAATGCTTGACAATGTTTTTAAACCATTAATGTGTCTAAGTCTCTAGTCTTCGTCTAAGTATTTAAGGTATTAATACAGTACTTTGGACCGAAAGGTGTCTCTGTGAGGTTGGGAAATAAAAGTCTGCCAAGTTAAGTTAGCTAATGCCATGCAATGATAACATTAAATTGTCTGTGCTAACGCTAATTGAACAGTAATGCTATACTTGGCTAATGCTAAACCGTTTGCTCAGTGTGGGTGGTTCTGGTGGTGCAGTTTGTGACTTTTAGTGTCGCAAAAGATGAAGACAGGAGACAGGAAGCTGTTAAAGTGTAAAGAGGGGATGCCGGGTGTCTCATTTGGGTGGCGAGGTGAAGTTTAATGTTAAGAAACCTGTGGCTATCTTCCGGGCCAGGTATAGCAGTCGTTTCTCGCCACCTCTGCCGCATCACTGGTGCATTGGGCGGTGCCACCAGCTTAGTTTCAGCTAAGCCACCCACTGAACTAAAAATAAAAGGGTTTTCAGAAACCTATGGGTGACGTGACGTCACAGAGCCTATGTCCATCATTTATACTGTCTATGGGTTCTCTCAGCATTTTCTAACAGCATGGTTGAATTCAAGTTAGAGCCACAACATCAAGAGTAGAGTAGTAGGTTTACCAGCCCCAGACAAGTTGGGTACATGGCATTGCAAACAGATCCTGCGGGAATGACTGTTCATTTGTCACATTTCATTTAATATTTCTGTCCTACACTTTGTAGCCGCTGTGCAAATTACTGCAATTACTTTCCTCTACTTCTTAGATGAACTTTTACACTCATTTGATTAAATCTGAACCTGACGGCCCTTTGAGTTGTGCTCTCTGATGGTTTACATCTTTTCTCTTGATCTTGTTGGAGCTGATTGCAGAAGTGCATTATTATTTCTCAGATATTTTCTTTCCTGGCAGAATTTACTGCAGCGTGTGCTGTATCCACTGAGCTACATCTAAGGCGTAAATCAATGGTGGTCTAACACAGAGGTGTACACAACCTTTGAGATATCAGCATAGATAACCTTCAAGAACACCATTCCTAATCCCTCAGCATGCGTCGCCTCCTTATCCCTGGCGTGTGGTTCTCACCTGCCAGCCCAGACAGACAAACCTCTGGATAATTGATCTTGTTTTCCACCTCCAAAGAGTCTGTGTCTGTCTGACAGAGACCAGACTTCAGTTGCTTCCTTGCTCAAAGTCTCCTCCGTGTTTTATGTGTTTTTACAGAAATCTATGGAGGAGAAAATGTATTTCAATAAGTGGATAAGCCACATGTGTATGCAAGACTTGTTGGCTGCCTATATGAGGCTCAACTCAGGATGTAAAGGATGAACATTCTTGTTTATATTGTTTGTTTGCATAAGTGGCTTTAACTGTTTTGAATTCTTTGTTGCTGAATATATGACACTGAAGCTTCCATGTGGGTAGAGATCGTAGCTCAGCACCAGAGAAGACTCCAAAATGGTATTCCCAATGATATGTTGTTTCCTTGGTGTGTGGCCAGAGATGTACAGGTGTGTGAGGGAGAACATAATGTTAGGTCGCCATGGGCTGGAGACATATGTCTCCCCCAGTGAATCCTGGGATTGCAGCCAAAGGAAGAAAGGCGAGATAATAGAGGCAGGAACACTCTGTAATGAAATAGAGGACAGCAGAGAAGCTGAATTATCACTTACAGAACAATCAGCGGTGCCTATCTCTTATTCACGGGCCTAATCAATGCTGTCGTCACTGTGGTTTATTGCATATGTAATGCCAGAATATTGACTCAGAGGGTGGTTGCACACGCAGCAGATTTCTGTGTATGTGTGTGCTTGTACAGTACTGTATATCAATGTGGGAATGTGTGCATCAGAGACAGAGTTGCAAGAGCTAATGTATGTGCGAGTGTGTGTGTGTGCATGTAGTCAATGCATCAGTGTACCTTTTTGTGCGCCTGGCTTTTTAACTCCACATTAGAACGCATCTGAATTGTGCCAAACGCAGCAGATCCTTATGTTAAATGCGTTTGTTTGCTTGAGCAAGGGGACTGACCCTGATTTTGGGTGTGTTTACCTTATTATTCTAAGCGTTCCTCATCGCTGTACTAAAGTTTTATTGCTGGAGTGCTCAGAATATTGATAGTCTCTTTGGCTCACTTGTGTCTCATTAAACATTCATGGGGATTTGTGCTGTGCTCTGGCTGCATGACAGAAGCAAGTAACAGGGCAAATCTCATCTTGATAGAACAAGACTGCTATCTAGTGGTCAGCGTAGGAAGGAAACATACAGCTTAATTACCAGCCATACCCTTTAACCTTAAAAAAGATTTACTTTGGATTGCCCAAATTAATTTGATTATACATGGTTAGAGCAAGAGCATACAGCTGTCATGAAATTTCCAAACATGAATTCCACTGCTCCTCCGTCCTTCCGTGAAATTTGTGCACACACTAATTCACCCATTGCTCCCTCAGCATGCAGGACGGTGGTGCAGGCAGACATAGTGTTTCTGGTGGATGAGTCATGGAGTGTGGGCCAGACCAGCTTCTCCAGTGTCAAAGACTTCATCTCAACCATCGTCTCCTCCTTCAAGGACAGTGTGGTGGGACCTGAGGGGGTCCGCTTTGGAGTCACTGTCTTTGGGGATATCGCAAGGTAAAACTCAAATGCAAACATGGGAACAACATAACAAAGCATAGCGCTCAGCACAGACCTATCTGACTTATTGCCATCAAGCCATGTAAAGGAATACTTCACCCACCAAATGACCAGAAAACCAAACCATATCTCAAACACTATTATTTACTGACTTGTTTTTGGATTATACAGAGCATTGTCATGTTTACACATGATCCAGTTTTGCTCTCCCTGTAATTCTCTCCTCGCAGGATGCGGATTGCTTTGACAGACTACAGCTCACTGGAGGAGGTGCTCAGAGCCATCAGAGATCTCCCCTATGAGGGTGGATCCAGGAGGATTGGTGATGCCCTTCAGTTTCTGGTTGACCCCGTGTTCAGCCCTGTCATCAGTCGAGACCATGCCCCAAAGGTACAATGTTTCAACTGGGGAGATCTGAAAACCCATCCAGGATGACTGCGTCTGTCTGCCATACATTACTTGCATAGAAAATGCTATCCTGTACCCTTTAAACAGTCCCACAAGCTGACTCCACTTACCGTAGGTGGAATCGCAACAGCAAAGGTGATAGAAGTAAAATCACTTAAAAATAAAGGTCTTTCTTCTTCTTCTTGCACATATGTTAAAAACTGGCTTAAATCTTTTTTAAATGTGTGACAAGGTTTGGACATACAAGCAACAGGGAAGTGATTGATTCAAGATTACAACCCACTCCTCAAAAACTGCTGCCTCCAGCTGGCCACTAACATGCATATGTTGTATGTTCTGTCCCTGTGTGAATGGAAATGACTAGTTAGAAATCTGCACTTGTACTCCAGAGAACATTGTGGAAAAAACAAACTAGTGTACCATTTTCACACCACTGTGAGTCTGATGAAACGGTCCTGCTTTATGCTTGGAATACAAACTGAGAGTATGTCTGATAGAAAGTTACAACTGGCTCCGGATTTGTTCTGCTTTGGTTTGTGTTTTGCTTGTGGAAGAAGAACAAGGAAAGATGGAGGCAGTACATTTTGTCTCTGTCACAGAGTTAACACGCTCAGTCGGCTCAATGGCTGTCGGAAAGGAAAGACTAGTGCCATGGTGCCAGACACATCGCAGAAAGTCCAAGATGGTCATCCAAAGATACACAGTGATGGAGATTAACATTCTTTGTCACATAGTCCTAAATAATTCTGCATCCGATTAGTGCAACTCTTTCCTTTGGACGCTTATCCAGGGGTGCCACCAAAGGGGGTGGCCAGAGGGGGGCATTGCCACCCTGATACAATTTAAACTAGACAACCTATGGCATCCATTGGTACTATGTCATACTAGCTTGTCAGGAAGGGGGGTAAATAATACCATTTTTAAAAGGGTCCCTTGAACTCTCACCTCAAGAAATCTGAATGAAAATAGGTTCTATGGGTACCCACGAGTTTCCCATAAACCTGAGAAGGCTCTGAGTAAAATGTTTTGTTCCTTAAAATCAATGTATTCCTCAAATTAAAGGAACAGTGTTTACGATTTAGGGGGCGGTGGCATCAAGTATTAAGGATTGCAGATTGCAAACAGCATGAACTTCTCCCGGTTAAAATTCCTTCAGTGTTCATTGTTAAGGAGGTTTGTGGAGGCAACTTCTCCCCAGAGGTCTCTTCCTCTCCAAAACAAATGGATCAGGTGATTAAAACCAGTAAAAACACTTAATAAAGCAGTTTCATGTTACAAATCAGTGTTTCTCCAACACTAGCCCAGCACCTGCTATTGTGTACTTACTTTTTTTCTCTGATAATGTATGCTTACCTTATTTCTGATCCAGACTTTCAGGAGGTTTTAATTGGGAGCCAAATTATTTGTAGAGATCTCGTTGTCTTCAAAACAAATGGAGCTGGTGAGTTAAACCAGTAGGAACACTGATTAAAACAGTTTAACGTTAAAAAAGTCTATGTTTTTCTGATGCTCTTGTCACGAAGGTGCTGCTAACTATGATGTTTATCATGAAAATGCAAGTGTTAGTCCCTTCCTAGGGCCAGTGTTTGTGCTTTCTGTCCTGGGTTACTGTAGAAACACAGCATGACATGGCGATCTCAGAGGAGGAGCACCTATGTAGATTTCAATGGCTCATTCTTACTGTAGGTAACAAAGACACAACGATTCTTATTTTCAGGTGGTTATACACCAGAGAAAACATAACTATTATACTTTATACCATTTCTACCAATATATCCCCCTAGATCCTACTCACTGGCTCCCTAAAGTTGTATATCTGTCTTTTTAAGGAAAAGGACACCCAGTCTATTTGAAGAGCAATGATTCCCCTAACACATACAGATACATAACACAATTAAATAGAATTGCTGTGGAACTCAAAATGTTAGCTGTATTGGTATTAGTCCATACACATCAGATGATAAGTAATATTACCTGAGAAATGAGAAACCTAAGTATATCAGTATTTGATTCCTTAATTCTCATATTGACATAATTATCAACTAGCCTATCGACTTCAACAGCATGTTAGAATCCCTGAAATTCAGTCATGGCTTTTGGTTTTGGAGTGCCACCCTAAGTTTTTCAGTAGCCCCATCTGGCTACTCCTAAAAATGTGTGAGTGCACCACTGCCCTAACCAAATTGCATTAGTCAGAAACTTATCTAAACTTGTCTCACAAGTGCCTCGTCAAGTATCCCAAAGCTCCTCCATTAGCTCTCCATTGTGTAAATTTCTCTGACAGTCTAACACTGCCGTGTAGTCTCAGTATAACACAGCTGGTTAGCATTCCAATCACCTCGCTATCTCTGAGTGTGCGTGCGAATCATCTTGCAGCAGCACACTTGACGTGGGAAGGCAGAGAATTGAGGATTAGGCTGATATATTGAATTGTACAGCCGGAGCACATGCGAGAAAAGCAGCTACATTCTCATATTGATGCTTTCCAGCCCCCTTTCTTCATTGACTGAGGGATGAACTGTGAATGAACTGAGTAAATTTTCCTTAATGGGCAAATTATCAGACTCTGTTGTGAGCCAGCATCATTGAATTCCACTTTGTCTTTGGGGTTTGATTTGTTTAATTACGTATTCAATTATGAGTTAAACCGTGTCAAAAGTCCCCGGGGGCTTTTTGAGCATAACTGTGTTTGTAAGGATGTTCTTTTTATCCAAACAAAATGTTGTTTGGAGGGTGGATAAATAATGAAAGCAAAAACCAGCACATTTTTAGACAGTTAATTGCAGAAGCTACAACTTAAACTATCCAAATTATTCTTCAAACCATCAGGTTATAGTTTAATATGGGTCACTGCATGAGTAAGATAATGTTATGTTATGTTTAATGACTCTGCTTGACTGATTCCTATGTCTCACCCCTGTACAGATAGCTGTAATGATCACAAACGGACGTTCAGACGACCAGGTGGACGCCGCAGCCAGAGCTGTAGCTGACAATGGGATTTCTCTCTTTGCAGTAGGTGAGTGTGGAAGTTAGTATTGTGAATTCCTTCAACATCCCCACTGCAGCGGCCCCTCACATTTTATCCCAGCTCTGCCGGCTTATCTGCAGTGTTTGCAGTCAGAATTTCATGTCCCGTACATTTGAATTCATTGGATTCAGTGTGGGTTTTTGTGACTGTGCGTGTGATTCTCGTTTCTGAGCATCTGAGTGCACTCATGCACGTGTATGCACTGTGTATATGTGCGTACACATAACAGCCTCTACTAAATATGTATTCAGCTCCCTATAGTGTATCTGTAAAAGTTCCCTTTCTTTTTGATTGACCGTCTTCAGCAAAGCTTCTATATCCTACACCTTTCCCCCGCTCATGAATACACGCTACTGTTTACCCACAAGTTTCCTTACATTCATCTTACCCTCTTTCTCCAACACACACGCATGAGCACACACGCCCACAACTTACTCTCCTCAGCTGGGAGCGGTGCAATAATTACTGCTCATTAGCCGATGGTGTGCTAATCGCAGCCATTTTTCATTAGGCAATTCAGTGTCCCCCATCTGCACCTCTGACTCCGAAGCTTGCTCCTCTCGTTCATCAGTCCTGCAGAGAAGCTCCACACGCGTCTTGTGTACAACTGCAAAACCAATATGCCTGTAGAGCCTCTGTAGCATTGATAATGTGTGTAGATATGTGCATGTTCTTTACATAAAAAACAGCTATCAAGAAAACAAATGTTTATCTTGTTCAGGTGCAGATTTCAGGTAATTGCGGATCAGATCACCCAAAAGAATTGCAACATGTTTATCTGCTTCAATTTAAATTTCTTCTTTATTACATAAATACAGTGCAGCTTTTATCCCAGATTGGGTCTTTCTCATGTGTTTGTCAGGGCCCACTTCCACAATCTTGAGCCTGACAAACACACACAATACTGTACCTTAAGATAAGTGCCAGAGAGTGTTTGATTGAGCCCAAATATGTCCACAACATGCATTTGTATGGGTATGTGCATCTTTTCATGATTTAAAATAAATCACTCTCAGTACCACAGCTCCCCCTGGTGTTGTCTGTGAGAAAGTATGTGGAGAAAATGCAAAGAGAACATGAACGACAGCACATAAATGTTGCTCTGTAACTGCTGTTCACTTGTTTCAATTATGCATTAATCAAGCAAGATTCAAGTCAAGATTACTGTTACCTTGTCTCCTGGTTTTTTTTTGTCCATCCTGTGACCAGGTCTTTGGGGAGCTGACGATTCAGAGCTGAGGAGGATTGTGTCAGAGCCACATGAGGAGCACCTATTATTGGGCACTGACTACTCTCACCTTGAAACCATTCTTCCCAAACTGTCCCGCAGAGTGTGTTTTACTGCTTCTGAGCCACCGCTTCCTGTGAAAACCTCCCCACCTGGTGAGTCAGTACACACACAGTATGAAAGCAAACTCCGTCGTAGCAGAAAAGCCGCCCCCATACTGACAGCTGTTTGCATTTTTATATTGATGGTTGAAAAGTATGTTAAAAATAATAAAAGCTGGGCTAGGCAGAAATATGCAAAAGGAAAAAAAAGAAAACAAAAAAACAAAAACAACACAGAATTTGAAAATACACCCTCCTCCTGCAGCTCTCCCCTCTCTGTCTTGACCAAGGACCACAGGCACATGCACAAGCTTTGTACATAAACTAGCTAGCCACCCCACATTCTCTCAGTCTTGCTCCCCGCTGCTGTGGACCTTCAGTCGGAGGCTGTAGCAGCTTGAATTTGGCCAGCACAAACCCCCCAGCGCTGGGGTCACAGTGGGCTGGTGCTGGGTCTAACCTGTGCAACAGCAGCCATAGGAAAGTTTCCTGATCCAACAGGGGACTCCTGAGGCTGGGGTTTGCGCTGGCTGGATTCAGAATGCTGTACATGCTAGCTGGGGTCTGTCTCTAGAAATGCTGCATGCTCTACTCCTGGCAAAGTGGTCTGTAGCAGTGGAGAGTGAGGTAGAGGACACACTGTGATTCAAGGCTCTAGTTTATGTTAGCTACATGAATGTGAACATGAAGCTGTAGCTGTTAGCCTTTGGCTTCTGTTAGCAGAGGGCTAAACTATCAGCAACATTGTCTCTCTGTCTCTAAAAAGCTTTTTCCTCTTTGGGCTGCTTTGCAGTGTAGGCAGTTGCTGCCAATTGCTGCATGATTGAATCAGACTGTCACCGAAGGATGCGCATTTACATACAGTATGCAGTATTTGTAGAAAAGCCAATAGGAACACCCTCTCTCTGAAATGACCTGTTACTGGCTAAAGTCTCCCATCAGGGGCCTGAAAAAGAGCCAAGAGGAGGTGCAGAATCTAGTTTCTTTTCCGTTCACTTAGATTATAAAAGCTCAACATTTATTGTGGGATTTTGCCCAGTGATGCCAAAATGAAACTGCCTACCCCATCTTTAATAGTTGTCTCTCATTTCCCTCTGCTCTGCAGCTTTCTCACACAGACAGATTTACCTTACAGACAAATTATACATCCAGACCAAGCATATATATTTTTCGTCACATCCCTCTGTCTGTACCTTCTCCCAATAGTCAAAGAGCCTGTGGTGGGTCCCAAAGACCTGCAGGTCAGCGAGTTGGCCCACAGTTCCCTCAGACTGACATGGAGCCAGGCCACAGGTGATGTCACTGGATATCGTCTCCTGATCTACCCTCTCAGCTCCGGTGGGCACCTCCCCCCACAACAGAGACAGGTGAGGGATTGTGAGTGTGCATGATAATAGTTGTGTTGCTATTGAGCTGGACTGAAGTCTTATTTTCCTCTATCAAAACATCCACTTAAGTCCCATCCCTCAATTGGTCATCCTTAGGACTGCATGTCACATCTGTGTCGAGCACATATACTGAACTTAAATGCAGGAAGTCTCCTGTTACTGCAGCCTGAGCTATTTGTGTAATTCCAATGCCTAATTTATGTTTGGGCACTTTTTGAAGACAGAAATGACGTATTTTCGGGAGAAAAAAGTGCTACTCTACTTTTCTTTTATGTCAGGCACCTGGAGAATTTTGTTATGTTGCAGACATTGTCATATTTTGTCACACAGTGTGATTGGTAGTATTACTGTTGTCGCCATGGAGAAAGTAGTTTTAAATCCACACCGACTCTGACCTGCATAGTCTGTCAACACAGCTGCACAGCTGAGAGGACAGAGACGGGCCCATTATACATGTATGGGCCGACCAAACTGTCTTTGCCAGACTGACTGACAGCAGACATTTACTGAACCAAAATATTTTACAGCGCCACGGGAGGAAATCAACAGTGTTTGTATTCACTGATTTTATTTATCAGCCCACCGTAGTGAGTGAGGGGAATCTGCCTCTCACAGACAGACACTGGGAGCTGATCAATCAATAAATATATGGCAAATAAGATAAAATCACATGTACACTGGGATATTTGTGCAATTTTCAACAGCTCGTTAATACAACAGAAATACACTTGGACCTTGAAAACATGTAGGGCGTCTCTGGTTATCATGAAGACAACTGAAACCTTTCGCCAAAGCTTAAATTAAAAACCTCACGCTGCTCTTAAATTCCTGTCAAGCGGCACTCTTCAAAAGTGTTGCGTGCCCAAGCATAAATCAGCCTTGACTTTCCAAAGCTTGCAACAAATATTGCATTAATGGGACTAACGTGATGCCAATTTCTCCAAAATATTCTGCTTGCTTATGTGTTTTCATGTTGATACTGCAGCTGTACCCTTGACAGACACAGAGAATTATGCGACAGTGCCAAAGGAGGAATATTTTGCATTATGTTTTAAGGCACAACATTCCACCTAATTTGAATGTAATGGAGGAGAGGATATTGGACACAAGTGTAAACAAAGCACAAGGATGCTGGATGATTACTGAGGTAGACACTTAATATGGGAAGTGAAGATATAAATATGTTTTTGTTATTTATTAGTTATTTGTTTTTTATTCAAGTACATGTTTCTATCTGTGCGTCAAGACACATGAACTTAGCTCCTCTGATTCTGCTGTCTGTAACAGGTTGATCTAAAGGCAGATGTGAGCACAGCGTTGGTGATGGAGCTGAGTCCCAAAACAGACTATTCCCTCACTGTCTACGCCATCTACCCCAGCCTCATAGGAGACTCTGCAGCAATCACCGTCCAAACAAGTGGGTGTCACGTGTCAGTGCATGCTTGTGCACCTTTTAGATAATACACCAATACTTCTGCACATCTGTTTGGATTTACCCTGAGCAATAACCTTTTTGTCTTGTAGCCCCGTTGCCTCAGGTGTCAAACTTCCGTGTTATTGAGGAGGGCCTGTTCTCTCTGCGCCTGGGCTGGACGCCTCCTCTAGGAAAGCTGAATGGATACAAGATCTTCATCCCAAGACGTATGCTAACATTACATCAAACAGTTATTATTTGACACCAGACACATTGCAAACCACTATACAAATATGTTTTTACAATAGTTATCATCATAAATTGTACAGTTCAAGCGTGAAAGAGGGGAGAGAGGGGGGCTAGAGGCTCGAATCGAGTGTGTGGCTGCTGTGGCGAGGACAGTGCCTTTGTATATTGGACACCTGCTCTACCCACTAAGCCACCAGGTGCCCCTTGGGTAACGGTTCTTCTGTATTTTTGTTTTGCAGCCAACCGCCCAGGATTTATTTATGAGAACATGCTTCCTGGAGACACCTCTTCTCATGTGATTGACAGCCTGGAGGAAGATAAGAAGTACACCATCAGTATTTATGCTGTTTACCCCCAGGGACAAAGTGAAACAGTTTCAGTAGTGGGCAAGACATGTAAGTTTTTCAGCTTTGATGAAAACACCATAATTATTTATTTGCAAGTTTATTTGGCAGGGACCACACATAAAATCTTTAGAAGTTAACTTTCCAACTTTCTCCCACTCAAGTCAATTTATTTAGCACATATAAATATTTACACTTACAAAACATTGACAGAAAAAGAGCTTAGACAGCTGCAACAATCAACAGTTGCACAAAAAAGTCATGTGTAAGTGTATAAAAAGCTAAAATATAAGGAAGCAAACGACTAAGTGTAGTACCATAAATTATCCACAGTGTGGTGCTGTTGTTCTAGAAAAAATAGCAGCACTAGGTCTATTAGATGGAGTAGGACTAATTTATCTCTGTTAAATGTCATACCAGAGAAACATCTCTTCAGCCTTTGCTTTGATTTAAATTAATTGAGATTTGTATGGATATTATTTTTCATTTTATTGTGTTAATTAACCTTTTTCTCTGTCAAAAATCTGATTGAACAATTTGACTTCTATCATTACTGTAATGACATATATGTAGTGACATATTGAATTTGTGTGTGACTATGTGTGTGTCTGTGTGGATTTGCGTGTGTTTCACAGTAAAGCTGGTGCAAGTTAAGAAGTTCCTTGTCCAAAACGCCACCACAGACACCGTCCAGGCTAGGTGGGCATCAGTTAAGGGAGCCACAGGATACCGTCTGACATGGGAATCCCCAGGTACTGTTGTTTACTCTTTGCTACGTAGTTAAATGCAAGGGTTTAGCAGATAGGATATAATCTTGGTTTGCTCAATGAAACCGAAAAGTGTGATATATATGAGTCTGTGTGTCTTACTGTGTTTTTCAGATGGCCACATAGCGAACGTGAACCTCGGGGACAACTTTAACTTCTACATGATCCAGGGCCTCCACTCAGCCTCTGAGTACACTGTCACCATCAACCCCATCTTTGGAGATATTGAGGGGCCCATCACAACCGCTAAAGTCAAGACATGTAATTAGGATGCTTGTTTGGAAGTGTAAAAATACAGACATTAGTGGTTACAGTATAATGGACATAGACAAGATTAGGTTTGAAGATGCCATTTCTGTTTTTCTCTTGGTTTCTCTCTGTGTCAGTGGAAAGCAGTGCAGTACAAACTTTGAAAGTGTCTGCTGTGAGCACCAGTACTGCGGTCATCTCATGGAACAGTGTCCCAGGAGCCACAGGATACAGACTGGCCTGGGGACCCACTCCAGGTGATTTGTTTTTCCATACACATGTGCTGGCTTTGCTTGACTCAGTTTGACTCTGTGCGTCAGCCCAGCACAGCAGGGATTTGCATCTCCATTACAACAGGGCTACCTGCTTGAAGTTGTATCTTAAAGTGATGACGACTTTTCTTAGTCGGTGACGTTTAAAAGCAGCGGGCTGAGTGTTTTTCCATCACACGGCACGGCAGGTAAAAGAAATGTACCTGCTGGAGGTTAGCTGACCGCAGAGGTGCAGTAAGAGCCTATTCATCTTCATCTTCATGTGGCTGTTTCTGCTTTTACTTTTCCTCCCTGCAGTAGGCTTTTTTTATTGAAGAATAGTCACTTACAAAGTTCCACTACTTCGGTGATGAAAACATTTAACTTCCTATAAATTCTTCCAAATAGAAGTGCCGTTATTTTGATGTGTAAAAGCTTTTATATTCATGCTGCAAAATAAGGAATTATCAGCAGTAACTTAAGAAGACTCCCATACAGCTGAAAGCAAACATGAAACAGTAAAATAAAGCAGATATCTAAAGTACAAATAGGACGCAGGAGAGAAACTAAACTTCAAACCACAGAGATTCAGATAGAGACTGAGAACTGAACACACTGAGACTTTAAAAAATACTTTTCTTTGGTCTCCTGCAAGGACATCAGTTGAGTCTTGCAACACATGCTTGTTTGATGTGGACATAAGGGGAGAAGGGGGGGTCCTCAGGGGTTGGCTGCGGACGGCGAGACATCACCGCTACCTGATTAAAGGTAGTGCGATGTGCTTTTGGCCCGACTCTGGAGATGGTCTATCTCAGTGCACCGCAACATGTCTAAACTGACAGTGGAAACCCAAATTACCATGGCATGGTGTGACTCTATGCTGATAGAAAAGCCCTATTACTCTGTCTCTCTTTCAGCTTTCTTGTTTTGTTTACGCCATAAAAGTATATATCCATACGGTGATAAGATCTGGTTCTTGTCAGGTGTGGAAGAAGTATTCAGATCCTTTACTTATGTAAAAGTGCTAATACCACACTGTGAAGATACTCCACAACAAATACAAGTCCTGCATTCAAAGCCTTACTTCAGTAAAAGTATGTAGTTTTTATCAGGAAAATGCACTTAAAGTATGAAAAGTGAAAGTGCTCATTGGGCACTTAATGTTTCGCATTGATATGCTATATGCTCATGGGTAGTTTAATCTAGAGCAATGCATCATATTGTATAACATATGTTTGTATGTGTATCTCTAAAAAGTCAACTTTTCCTGTTATAGACTTTGTGGTGATGCATTTTCCAGCTGAACCAAGAGGGTTTTTAAAGAGTTAGGGCCTGTCCCAATACCCACACTTCCCCTAGAAATACACACTTGCACTTGGTTGTGCGCGTTCACGTTTAGGCTAGTGGTGTCCCAAAACAGAACTGAGGTAGTGGAAATGGTTTCCAACACTTAAAACCCAACCTAGATTCCAAGGGAGCCCTGACCCACACTTTCAACAACGTGGAAGATGAAATTTCCCATAACACCTTACAAAGTCAGCAACTCCGGCAAGTTTTGGAAAACAATTTGTGACTGTACGATTGGAATGCAGCCTATAGAAACAACAGATAGTTGGACTAATGTAAACTCATCAGCAGCTCGGTTGAACACAGCGTCAAAATATTCAAACAAATCGACTTACCCGAACAAAATCGATCAGAACTAGAAGATGTCGTAGGCGCCTCCTGTTTTCAGCATTTCTTCTCTGTTGATTCATCAGACGGAGAAGAATAAACATAGCACACGCCACAACACAAGCGCTGGAGCCAGCATTTTCATTGCGTTGCTAGTACGCGTGACGTATGCCTGCACGTTGACCACGCTGATTTGCATGAAGTGGTGTCCCATTTCTTAGAGAAAGATCTCTACCCTAATATTTCTCACTTCCCTCATCAAGGGTTTAGTGATGTGACGTTCGCGAACAAGCCGAGTCTTTGAACCGGCTCTTTGAAGTGAACGAATGAACCAGCTCTTCAGAGTGAACAAGCCAGTTCCTAATTCACGTCGTGTTGATGACCCCCCTCAGTTAGAAAGGAACGATAGGAAGCTAACCCACTATCCGCTAGCACTTGCTTGTATTGACAGGCTTGTTGTTTGTAAAGGATGTTGCTATGGCTACACCAAACTCTAAAGCTGCGGAGTCTATTCTGGATCCACATTAGAATATCCAGATCACGTGATGCGATAAATCTGCAATGCGATTCGTCGTTGAACCCACTAACACCCCCCCCACCTAACACACACACATACACAAACACACACAGCGAAAAAAAAAACAACAACAAAAAAAACCCAAACGAACGAACCGCATCTTTGAACCGGCTCTTCAATGTGAACGAGAAATCCCATCACTAAGCGTTATCTTGCAAACGAGGACACTCAATACCAAGTGGAAGATTTAAGGGGTAGAAATGGGACTGAGCCTTAAGTTAGTTTGGAGAATTTTCTCAACACACAAAGGAACTCTTTATCCTTCAGTTTATCACAAACATTCAACATCAGCACATTTGGAGATGCATGGTTTTCACTGGACAGGAAGAATATTACAAATTGTGTGTCTGCAAAGTAACTAAAGCTGTTAAATATATATA